GGGGGGGGGGATCGACTAGCCGCTAGCAATAAGCTACGAGGCTAGCCACTTACACTTCTGAAGAAATGTGCCAGCCGATAGCCAGCTGCTCAAATGCCTCGAGGGAGGATGGAACATCGCGACAGAGCGAACAATCCAGATCGATCCGAAGAAAAGGGTAAGAGAAACGGAAGGAAACGTCGGATGATAGACGTGGGGCGCCTCTGCGGCAGCGGGACAAGAGAGGTGGAGGACCCAAGGTGGAGGACCCCAAGGGTGGAGGACCCAAGGTGGAGGACCCCAAGGGTGGAGGGCCCCAAGGTGGAGGACCTTGGAAGAAAGGCGGTCTTGGCTCTCTCTTCCTGTACCTATTCTATCTTGTTTGCATTTTTTTTCTTTCACACCCGGTTGCGCCCGATCGATACAAGGAAGAACTCGAGTTCCCAATGACTTTCAGTCCTCTTTTTCGCTTTTCACTCCCTTTCACTCTTGTTCCTTGGGAATTTCAGGAGCCCAGCGGGATTCCTGTTTCCCTCTCGACGAGCTCCCATATCCGCGATGCGGACGACCGATGGAGGCTTCTGGGGATCGGGTTTCGGTGTTTCCTGCATTTGCCAAAAAAAAGGGCGGATTGACATTCCACAGGGCTGAACATTCGATTTTTTTTTGCGGCAATCTTCCATCCGCGTTGTCGAAGCTTCGGTGTGGATGGAGCGGGCCATTAGAAAGTTGTTATCCGATATTTTGATATTTTTCATTTTTGAAAGACTCCTTTCTCCAATCGAGAAGATGGAAGTCTACGGACCGTTTCGTCAAAGTTTAAAAAGCAACAAATAATGATGTTCGCAAGCGAGTGAACGTACCGGTTGCGCGAAACTTTCTCACAATAAATTCTATTCGGAGAAATACTCCCTTAGCACACAGATGAGCACACAGAAGCTCCAAAAATAAAAACTACGCGACGCTTTTTGGAGTTTATAACATGGAATTAAGGGACATCTTCCCTTGAAGCGATGCATGCATGGAAATAGTCCCTTAAAAAAAGTCTTCGAAACACAAGAGGCACCACTTTCATTCCACTCTAAAGAGACGAGTATTTACAGACGAATGGTCGACCATTCGTGCACCCACGACGGGTCACAGGTCATCGTTTGTCCGGGATCATCGACGCCCGACGTGCCGATCCTCTGTTTGGAGGAGTGAGAAGGCCCGAACGGCAGGACCGTGGTGGGCCGAGTCCGCTTTGGGCCCGCCTGGCCCGGCGGGAGCGTGGTCCAGGGTGAGCCTGGCCCGGCGTTCCCCCTCTTCCGGTCCTCCCCCTCCATCACCCCAAAAAGAAATTTTGTTCTCAGACCGAGGCAGTCGGGCAGACGCTTGCTTCATTTTAACGGGGCCTGGGGCGTTTCCCACGTCTTTTTCTATGCTCAGTGTCGAATCCCCGAAATGACTCGAGAATGGCTCAAGTGTGACCGTCATATTTTATTCTTTCCCTCGCTGTCACGGGGAGGAAAACAAATAAATGCCCGTTCATCTCTGCCTCTGATAATCCACGACAGGCGTACGGGGGAGTCTCACGACTCCACGGCACCTTTTCACGGTCGCACCTCTTCATAGTGGCACCTTTTCATGGTAGTACCTTTTCATGGTGGCACCTTTTCATGGTAGCACCTTTCCATGGTGGCACCTTTTCATGGTAGCACCTTCGATCCTCGGGTTTCATCACGTTCTGTTCTCGGTTCAGTAGGTCCTCTTGTGCGTTTTCGTGGCTCGAGAATTCGATTCGGGTGACGAGACTCGAGGCGGAAATGGAGACGGATCGACGCCCTGGTGTCGTCTCTCTTTCATCCTTTCGCTTATTCATCCCAGAGCGATTGACAGTTCAAAGACTTCCCGACAGTTGGCAGCACGGTCGTTAACAAGGAAGGCGTCGACCAGCTTCAGTCGAGCATTCAAAATTCAAGCGCGTGGTTTTCTTTCTTCACTCTTTAAAACGATTTATTCAGTTGATAAACGTGGGAACTTGGAGACTTCTAATCTCTCCTTCGATGGACAAACGCGGTCATTCAAAGCACAGGGCTCGTTTTCAGGGCGGTTTCCACACAGTCGAAAGTACTCCCTCCGCTGATCCTCGTTCGTCTGAGAAACGTTTCGAGGAATGTAGGCCTAAGATGGAAAAATTCCTTAGAATGTAGCGGGGCCTCGATCGCATGACGGATCGCTTCCGGAAGCGCAGAGGCCTGCGTTTGTCGCATTTTTCCTCGGATATTTCTATCGGGGAACCTTGGTCTATATTTCCTGAATGAACATTTCAATCAGCACAAGAGCGAGGGAACTAGAAGTGCTTTTTCCCCACGACTAATCACGATTGGGGATACGCCTCATCTCGCTTTCATACCGTGGAGAGTTCCGGCCCCTCTGCAGATGATTGAGAAGTTCGGTCGAGTGCCGAATATGCACTGGAGTTGATGACTTCCGGTCCTTTTTTTTTCTTAAATCTGTCTATCATTGAACTTTCACTCTCGGAGGCTCTTCTCTCCGCCCGCGGCTTTGGCTCTTCTGCATGCGGCGTTTGTCAGTCGCAGCGGTGACAAGTCGACTTTTCACCGGCAAGGCGACTTTTCTCGGGCGAGGCGCCGTTTTCGGCAAGTTGGCTTTCTCTGCTCCGATGATGTACGAACGGGTTCGACAGATGGCAAAATCGTGAATTCCCTCGTGATAGCATCGGGATGTCTCGTGTCGTAACTGCGGAAGCCCTCGCATGCCAAAAGCCACACGCATTTTCGCGGGGGCAAACATGACGAGGACTAATGAAAACACAAAGCTCGTCCAAATGCTGGACGTGGACTTTCACCTTTCGCGACGGATTAAAGTGGTGCTTAAAAGGAACTTGGCAACTTACGAAGCGGTTCAACACAGGAAATGATACAAGACAAGGCGCACCGAGACAAGAATTGATCGACGATGCACTGAAGTAAAAAGTAAAAAGGAAAAAAGGCCGGAAGTTCGCATGGAGAGACCGTGATCAGGGCCAAAACGAACTCTTCCTCGATCCTCGCTTTCCAATGCAATCGACTGTGTCCTTTTTTTTTGGCTGTCCCCGTGCCTAATGACACACAGAATGGGTTAAGTAGAGGAGAACCCGAGGAGTGACAGAAAGCGTACGATGAGAATTTCAGAGTTGTATTTTTTTTTGTCTTTTTTTCATGAGGAACAATAGGATGTGGTACAAAGATGCAATTCCAACGCGAAGATGAGACACGACAGGAAGGTGTAACGTCTGCAATGTCTCCAGAGTCGTGCTAATAAAAGTTCTAAAGAATCTATAGAAGAGGTGCTAATAACAAACCCCCCCCACAAAAAAAAATCCCATTACGCCGGCATAAAGCAGAAATGAACACATTCCGAGATGATGACAAGTTTCGGGGGAAGTCGATGCCCGGCGATGAGAATCGATTCACTCGAAATTTTTTTCCTCCGATCGTTAGCGAGAAGGCGTGACGTGGAAGGAGGCAGACGAGAGGGGAAGCCCGGGAAGCCCCTCGCGGGGGTCAGTCCGTCTCGAGGTCTCGAGCGGGGAGCATGCGGTTCGCTCGGGGTGGCCTGGGGACGGTCGACTGAGGATGGCTTGGGTCGTGGTGGTGCTTCTCGTGGTCTCGAGCGTGAGTTTCTTTTCCTTATTGATCGGGGGTGATTCGGGGGTTTTTAATCATGAGGGTCTTCGAGACGAGGAGGGGACTCATCAAGTAATTATTTTACGTAATGGAACTTTGGAAACGGCAGGTGGGTCTCTCTTAACTTCGCGGAATATATTCCAGAAATATTCACCGGAAGAGATTTTTTTTCTGCTTTCGTGCATTCCACGGCACGATTACGGAACCCGTGGAGGCGAAAGATGATACCACCCAAGACAATCACGCCATTAAAGACAATGAAATGCGTGCCGAAAAGTGTCGCCACCGCCTCATTCTCTTGTCGCTGGCTGCATCCAAGGATTCATTTTTGTCTTCTCGTGATCCTTTCCTGCCCTTTATTCTCGTGGACCTTGACACCGCATTTGACCTCGGAAGAGTAAAAGGTGCGACCACAAAGCCTTCTTTTTTTTAACCGTCTGATCCCCTTGGCATACTTACGATATTTCATCTTTCACCTCTCGACCTTTGACACGCGTTTTCCCTTTCGTCCCGCTTTCTTTCCCCCGGATTTTCGCTTTCATCGGCGCTTGTTTATGAGAAAAACCGCGCGGTGACGGCCCGATGAGCCTTGTTTATTGCCTCCCGAGTGGAATGACCTCCCTCTCCCTCTCTCAATGACCTCCCTCTCTCCTGTCACTCTATCTTGGGATGATGCGGCATTACAACCTCTCCCGCGAACCGTGACTCGGGAAACGAATGGAAGCGAGAAGATTCCAAGCGGAAATCGGTCCCCATCTCTCCCCCGAACGTCGCAGAGACAAAAGCGCGAAGAAAAGGGAAAGTTCAAGGACGACCAGGACAAAGCCTCATTGTTATTTAACGAATTCCGAACCGACCATACTGCGTAATTCTCACGACGATTAAAAATCACAACGCAACACCCCCTCGGAGACGAGCCTCGCCATGACATCAGCCCCATTCATGATCCATGACGTCAGCCTTATTCATGAGAGTTGGAAAGCCGGACGGGAAGTTCCCGCAGCGAACGATGCCTAGTTAAGCCAGATTAATCACGACCCCCCTCAAAGAAAAGCCCCTATCAGAATTCCCTGTATTTTTCCTGGTTAACACGCCTCACTTAAAAAAAAAAGAGAATGAGGTTCTAAAACCACAAAATTGAGTTATCGTGATGCCCAGGCTTTAATTAACACGATGGCTAGTGCGGGTGCGAAACCATGTCTTATATAATGTGGACATTATCATTTAATGGCAAATTTATGGAGTATATCAATTAAGGCAGTGCATGCAAACCCGCCTTTCCTCTGAAACCAATCCTTCAAACTTCTCCATATCGCATGCGATATGAATGAAGTGCAACGAAATTAATTTGGAATGGGGATATTCCAATGAAATGCGCGATGGAACAGGTGGAGAGGCCGAATTCCAGCCGTCCAATTAATGATATGGATCTTTTCTCGACGGCCCTCGTTATTGCCCGGTGTCATGTAGCTCGGAAAGCTCGTTGTCGGTCAGCTTTCATACGACAGGGCTCTTTTGCATGCATGGAAATGTAGATCTTTAAAAATAAATCTCGGATTCCGTGAGAGGCAGAGCGAAAGGCGAAACTAGGCGTATTTCCCCTACAGAAAAAGTTCAACATGTTGAAACTGCAAATCGACGGTGATTCACAGTTGAAAAACCGGTTTTCAACATTCATTCAACAGTTCAACAGTGGTCACCGTTGAATCACCGTCGATTTGCAGTTGAACCCAATTCCACCGGTGATTCACCGTTGAATCATCGGTGACATTTTTTGTACGGGTCTAGCTGCGCTGTCATCTGACAGATTTTTATCTCTTTTAATGTTCATCTGTTAATCCAAAATCATTCGAATTTTCCGTTGATCTTGCTGTTCAAAATCCTCAGACTTTTTTTGCGAGTGGTCGATGAAATTTGGCCAGGACGTAGCTCTACGATCTGACTCGGACAAATAATAAAAAGGGTTTTGTCAGGATTCCACGATGATGGGGCAGGAAATGTCGAAAAGAAAAAAGACAGATGGTGAGGCCGAGACCGAGAGCGGAAAGATCTCATATCGCTCTGTGACTTCGTGTGCACTGAAGCTGGGTGGAGGGAGAGGAGAGGGAGAGTCCTTGGGCAGAGGGAGAAGACAGGAAGATTCCTGGGATGGAGGAGGACGCACCGGAGACGAGATGCCGGAGTTGACGGGGCTGGAAGCGACCTGCGGGAAGACGGAGATTAGGGTTCGGGTCTCCTTCAGCCGTCCCTTCGCGGGGATCATCTACTCCAAGGGATTTTACTCCCAGCCTCGATGCAACTACGTCCAGGCGGAAGCGGCTCCTGCGAATCGATTCACGTGAGTCCGGTTCTTCGGCTCGTAAAAGCCTCAAAAACGCGGTTAGGCAAGACGACATCGCTCGGAGAGAAAGACGAAACGTGGACAGCCCCCGGAGGTTTCCCAGGCACTGCCCGGTATTGTCACCCAAACTAAAGTGAAAGCGAATTTTTTTCCGGATGTGCCCCTCGTGGGAGGAGGGCAACGGAGTCTCGAACTCAAGCGGTTTTTGTTGCCAAACAATGCAATTCGATCTGCGTAGGCCTGAGAAAAATGCATGACGTGCCCAAATGATTTCAGAAAATCTTTTTCCTCCAACGATTTCGTGGTTTTGCCTCTCAATCGTCGGGTGATGCAGCAAAATTTGCTCAGTAATATTTCGTATTGGGGTATTTACGACTCTCAATCGAGATGATCACAGGCCGTCGGCAGAAAGGTGGTCGATTTGTGGCTAATTAGGCGCTTCGATCATGATGAGTCACTCGAGTAATGTGAATAATACCAGCTTTCAATCAATTCGAAGCTAATTGCTCCCTTAGACTTATTTCGAGTCAATTGCCTTTGAGCGGGGGAACCACTAAGATTCAGTCTCGCAAAGGTAACTATTTCAGTGAATGTGTGGGTTTATAAAAGGGACGCGAAGACAATCGTACACGAGACGTGACTTATCGAATAAACTCCCCCACTCCTTTTTGGAGTCTCACGAAGAAGTGTAGATCGTTCCGTCTGTCATTGTAGATGCAAATGAAGGGAGGAAGGGGGAAAGAAATGGTCCTTAATTAGGCTATTACCTACAGCAGCGGAGGATTTCTAGCCGAGTGATTCTCATTTCCTCACAAAAAAAGGTTCGTGATCCCATCGCAAGGGTGCGGGACGACGGGGCAATGGGAAAAACTCCGCGAGTCCCAAGACGTATTCGTCGAGAACACCATCATAATCCAGAACGATCCCCTCATTCAAGAAGCGTGGGATCATGCGAGGACGATTCGGTGCGTCTGGAAGCATTCCATCGTCAAGCATCTCTCCGCCTCTCCGTTTCAAGTCTACAATCCCCTCACGGTTGGTTGGGTTGGAGGGGGGAGGGGGAGGAGGGGGGGAGGTTCGTGAGGTGGATGTTAATGAATGGGGGGAATTCGTTGTAGGTGCCGATTACGTTCAACAAGTACTCGGTGAATTCGGTGATGGAGATCCAGGAAGGGAAGGGCCCGTTCTCGAAGCCGGCGACGGGTTTCATCCACGTGGGGGATCAGACTTCGCTCGTCATATATATTCAAGGTATTCACCGTTCGTTGCTTTATTTTTCAGTGTTTCTTGGGATTTCTTATCTTTCTCCTTGCGTCGTAGACCCGAAAGGAGCGTTGGACGCTCGAGTGAAGAATTGTCGTGCTGGAGACAGTGACTCCGGAACGATGGAGTTGTTGGATTCCCGAGGCTGCGTCACGAGACAGAATCTTATCACTCCCTTCTATTCCACTCGAGAAACCCAAGGCACCCAGGCTGATCTCATTCTCTATTCGCATTTCAAGGTTAGATCGTGGTTAAAATTCAGGGTAAATGGCATGAAGTGACAGCAAATGACGCGAAGGATGAATGGCAACTCCTTTTGCAGGCATTTCGACTGCCAAGTTCCACACAATTCTTCATCACCTGCAAATTAGAGGTGTGTTACGGGGAATGCATTCCCGCAGATTGTGCCGGCGGGACCGCAAACCAATTTGACGAAGTGCAAAATTCCGTCTCTAAAAGATCTTCGTGAGTTTCTCTCCCTCATCTCAGATCTTCAAACGGGAGGAAAATTTTCCTAGGTCGGATTTCGCTTTTTCCAGTACCTCCAAGAGAAGACGACGAGACGTAGAGCAAGCAGACCCCTCCGCGGGGAATCGAACAGCAGTGGTGGAGCTGTCCCGCGGGATCACTGTCCTCCCCCGAGACGTGTCGGAGGATTCCCGCGGTCCTCCCGCAGACTGTTTCCCCCGCCCTGTGTTCATGTTGAGTGTGAGCCTCTTGGTGCTTGGATCCCTGCTACTTCTTGCCTTCACCGCCTACCTCTATGCCCTCAACAGGCGGCTTCGCGCCAAATTGGGACTTTCTATGAATCGCATTTGCTGAATAGGAAAGCCTTCTTTCGCACAAAACATCCCGGGGAGTGGAGTGACTGAGACGAATGGAAGACTTTAAAGTTTTGTTTTTGTTTTCCCCCTTCCCTTGAAACCAAAATGCCAGGGAAAGTGGATCCCAGGAAATAATAATCATAATATAAAAGGTTTCACATGCCTCACAATTACATCATTCATAGGCTAGAAAGCCCAGTCTGCTTTGGAAATATTGAAGAAAGTAGAAACACGACGGAAGGAGTTTCCCTTTATTATGCGAATATGCTGAGCAAGACCAATGCACACCTTCACTCTATGGCTCCGTTAAAACCTCTCACATGCTAGAGAGAACCGAGGATGGAACTGGCGATCGAAAAAATTCCAAGAAACACTGTACATAGAATATAGTTTTTTTTTTTTTTTTTTTTTTGGAAGCAGGTTACTCCGCTGCACATCTTGCCTTCCCCACAGGGTCAAACTGGAGACTGCAGGGAATGAATATTTTGTGATCATTGATGGAATGTCCTTTTCACTCACACTTCTTTTCATATGCATCCAGACCAGAAAAAAATAGCAAAGGGATCTCCTGTCAGTGGAATTCATCAATACATACGAAGTCTATGAAACTGTACAAAACATAATGTGAGAGAAGAGGCCTTATGGAGAAAGAAGAGCAAATAGGAGGAGATCTCCTTTTATATTTGATGTCGGAATGACATCAAATCATTGAATCTCTTGATCACAGCTGAGGAAGTTATGGGACAAGTATAGATGATGATGAATCTCATTAGCAGCGTTATTTACAGTATTTTTTCCATTGCAGACTGGATTGTAGGTGGCATTTTCCTCAGTCTCTCCTGATTATTTGATGGAAAAATGACAATCCACTCCCTCTTAAAAACGACCTCAAAATAGATTTCAGGAAGAGCCTGAAGCTATTCTTACAATCCATTCAATATTGAAAAAATACTCATAACAGTTTTCAGCTAAAACCAAGAAAACCTTGACAGTAGAAGAGATGATGTAAGGAAGCCTGCATTCATTACTCAGAGAGAGGGATTCAAAGAAAGGGATTTGAGCTTTATATATTGTTGTTTTTACTTCCATGTCAGCTGCAAACCCACATTGAGGAAAGCTCTATCATGGCTTGACAATTCAAAGATTAGCAAGATGAAGTGAAAGGGGGGGATAATTTCATTTATGCAATGGCTCACAAATACACTCTTTTTCTCGATCTTCTTTTTTCACTCTCACTTCTTGCACATTCAGCTAAAAAATAAAGCCTCTCTAAATACAAAACGAACAGGACGATGCTGGAGTCACTGGACACTGCACTGGGGTTGCAGTAGAAACTTTTTTGTTCAGTACCTGAAAAAAAAGAAGTTGCAATTTTGTGATTTGTCGTGCTAAGCACAACAGGAGGCTTAAAAAATATTTTTTCAATTTCTACAAGCAATTAGCATATAAGAGGTATATTGAAATTACCTGTAATAATTCGGTTTGAAGGGGCCAGCTTTGTTGAGTCCCATATACTTGGCCTGCTCATCAGTCAGTTCAGAAAGGTGGGCATCAAATGATGGCAGGTGTAAGCTTGCAACATACTCATCTGTCATGGGAGAACACAAATGTAAGGTTATGATAGAATCTGTCAAAGAATGAACCCATACAAAGCATGCTGCCTCTCCTAGCTTACCCATCTTTTTGGGCAGAAGGTAGACATCTGACTTGTACCTGCCAGGAGGGGCATTGAACAGCTCTATCAAGGCTAAGGCCTGGAAAAGGAAACAACCAATTGATAATTTTCTCAAAAGTGGAATGATTCCAGCAAGATATGAGATGAACGCACTTGAGTGCAGGCGGTGATGGAGATGACAAAGGAAGGGATTGAGGAGCACGAGAGATTGACAAGACGTCCCTCTGCGAGGAGGACGATTCGTTTCCCATCTGGCCATATCACATGGTCTACCTGATTCCTCACCTTCTCCCATGTCAGGTCAGGGGTTCTCAAACTATTCTGTAAGTGAACAGAATCAAAGAGTAGGCAACACTGATTCCTCTTTCTGGCTCGAGACACTGACAGAGGGCAAGGTGAACTTACGACATCAATCTCGGTGTTGGAGTGTCCCATGTTACAGACAATTGTACCATTCTTCATCTTGTCCATCATCTCTCGGGTGATCACATTCTTGTTCCCTGTGGCAGTGATGACAATGTCCACCTGCCTGATCACTTCGTTTGCCTTCACCACTCGGAGTCCATCCATGCTGTAGACCATAAAACAGAAAAACTGTAGGGGGTGCTGGGGAATTTTTTGAGAGGTACCATAAGGACACTGATGCTATACAGTAAGCAAGATAGATTCATTCATGGATCCATATTTCCTGTCAATACTTAACAAACACCGCTTTCATCACTTTCAAGTGAGACAAGATGTGGCATACATAAAATTGCACAAAGATGAAACCGTGATAGAAAGGAGCTCTTAATTCTGGTTGAAACATGGAGCCAAAATTCTTTACATGCATTAATGTTTCAGATGATTGAAAAGGTGCCAAACTCAAATGAAAAACTAAAAAATAATCTGGTTAATTCAGGTTATGAACCTGCTTACAATAGTAGCATGAAACTCATTTAATCTTTTCTGTTGTCATGTCAAATAATCAGAATTCATGATACTATCTACTTGTACTTGACAGGTTTGACAGTTTCAGAAACTCTGAAAACTGCTTTAAAATAATTGACAGAATTTCTTCTGCCAATTTTGAGATTTTGACTATTGTGGACTTGTTCTCACATCTGCCACAATTCCAGGGTTATCTCAGAAGAATCTCAGACCTTGGGAGGTAAGCCTATGATGAAGGCAACAGAGAGAATTTCACTATTAAAGGACTGACCATGCCTGAAGGGCACAGATGGGATCGATCTCGGAGATGAAGACGACGCAGCCGAGTCCCTTGAGAGCTTGGCAGCAGCCTTTACCCACTTCTCCATAACCACAGACAAGAACCTGCTTCCCACCAAACATCACATCTGTGGCTCTCTTCAAGCTGAAAGAAACCCAACAAATATTTAAATTTCAAGAAACATCAATGGAATCTACCCAAAACTATCCATACAGAATGCAAGACATCCTGTGTTTCTCAATGCAATATACCTAAACCATAAGGTCTGGTTCACTTCTATCAACAATAATGATAAAGGATTAAACCAATGGGCAGAAGACAAAGGTAAGATGACAAAAGAGGAATAAAACTTTAGATTAAAGATCTGAGGTATGATTGATTTTCATAAATCATCATGAAAAATTAGCTTGAATCCATAATGAAATCCCTTCCAACCCTGTACTGGTTTCCATTTTTGTGATGTAACATCTCATGCACTTTCTTTCATTGATGCTATTTATTGGGAGTAGTGGGGGCTACCCCTGGCAGTGCTTCCAAGTGCCTAGCACCCCCAATGAGAATAAATATGATTCCTGGCTCTGATGATCAAATACCTGTATAAGACCCACATCTTGCAATCGACTCACCTGTCAATGACAGATTCCCTGCAGGAGTAGAGATTATCAAATTTCATCTTGGTGACAGAATCATTAACATTCATGGCTGTGACAGTGAGTTTCCCTGCTTTGGACAGCTGGTACAGGCGATGCACGCCAGTCACGCTTTCTTCCACGATCCCTGCAAAAGGATTCCATCGATATCACTTCCTTGTCGGGATACGAACGAGGAAGAAAACATTCTTCTTAGACTCGACATACCTTTTACCATCTTGAACATGGCAGGATATTTCTTGATCATGAGGTGAGTGGCATCACCTCCATCGTCGAGGATCATGTTGGGCTGCCAGTTCTCCGCATTCACGCACTTGTCGATGCACCACCAGAAGTCCTCCTCTGTCTCTCCTCGCCAGGCGAATACGGGAAAGCCTAAACAGAGAAGAGGGAAAAGAAGAAATCGATAAAAAGCTTCCATATCACCATGCACTTAATTCACTCGGGAGCATCATTGCAGGGGGTTAAGGGAAATCATTATGGCATCTCACCCGCTTCTGCCAGGGCAGCTGCGACTTCGTTCTGCAAGAAACAGGGGAAAATAGCTGCAATAAGATTTTCTGAACAATCGGATATTTCGGTACTGAAAAGCACTTTTGAATTGAATTGTTGGGGGTGTGTCTGACCTGAGTAGAGTAGATGTTACAGGCAGCCCATCGGACGCATGCTCCCAGTTCCACCAGAGTCTCTAACAGAACCTGCGTGCAAACAGAAAAAAAGGAACTATCACCTCAACTAATTACTGAGATGTAAATTCCTCGTGTCCAGTTGCCGACTCAATTGCACCATTTGTGGAAATTTGCATTTTTGTTGCATGAACTCAAGCTGCAACCTAAGATCTGCAGTACCAACGAGGAATGAAATAAGATAGGGAATGCGACGAAAGCTTCTTATATTGCTCACAAATAGCAACCCATGGGTCAATATTTGATCAAAGAGTTGATGGGTCCGTCTGAATGGTCCCAACTATCTTGGCAACACTGACACAGGCTTCCATCATTCAGAAAATTCGCTCTCATTCTGTCTGATCAGTGTGCCTCGCCAAGTAGCACTCAACTGTGCCAAAGCAATGTCACCTTACTTGCCTGTAAGGCCGCTACTAATATTAAACGTCTTTTACGGTGATCATATTCAGATTACGAAACAGGACTTCAGTCGACAATAAGGCAGTATATGTGTTAGCAACAGTACATGTCGACATGTACTGCATATGACAAAATAAGCCTAAATCTTCAATATCCGGCAATGGAATGTGAAGAAAGCTTGAGTATGCCATAAGACACGGATTTCTCGTCTTCAACCGACTCAGTCTTAGCTCGACTCTCGAGTATGAATGACTCTGGGATCCACCCAATCAAATTTCTCCATCCTCAATCGATCAACACACTGATGCAAATCCTCCCTTCTGCCTAGGCCCATTAGAGAACCTTCCCCAGATGCAAACACCCATGGGACCCGTGGAGTGCATGCAGGATGTAGAAAAAGAATTGAGGTAAAGAACGACCCCTCTCATGATGACGGAGGGGGAGGGAAGGTTGGAAGCGGAACACTGCCCTCCCACTCTTTATAATATGCTCCATTCGTCATCACCATGAAGGAGCTCCCCTTCCCCCGGGAAGCGACCCCCTCTTCCTCTGGAGTCTCCTACGACCTCATATTCTTACTTCATCATCCGCCCACCTCCACTCTGAGATTGAAAAACACTTACAGCAGTCTGCGCATTGATGTGAGTACAACCCACGATCTTGGCTCCTTTTAGGGGCTTGTCGTCTCCGGCTCTCTTTCTCAACGCCATGATACCCGGCATTTCTGGAAAAATGGGACACCGTGAGAGACACCCACGGATGAAGCATAAAGCGAAGAAGGGTTGCAGCATACCTTGTTCAGCGATCTCGATTTCCCGGCGCCCGAACGGAGCCTGATTGATGTTTCGGACGCAGAAATCGTCAAATCCTTTGGTGCTCTTCTGGAGCTTTTCCCGCGGCGACACGTCGTCCTCTTCATCGCTGTCCGTATACGAAGCTGAAACACAACCAATGAATAAACTGATCAATCCTCGCGAACGATGTCCTGCGTCAGCAGGTCTTCTTCAACGACAAAAAAAAAGTTTCATAAGATGAAACAACAAGGGTGATCTCGGGGGAAAACTGAAGTGAGGGCAAACATCAAGGCCTCTTGGGGAAATTGATTAAGGACTCAGATAATATTAGAGCGAGCGGCGAAAGGAGGAAAGTGCCAGTAATCCTTACAAGACGAGCAGACAGAGGCGATGGAAGAGCGACGGGATCCATCCGGACGGGAGGGGACCGGGAGGGACATCCGGCGCCGGCTACGTTCTCGCACATTCCACCCTCTCGACGATTCTAACAACCTCTCGGGAACCTTCAACGAATACCATCCCCTTCGTAGATATTTATCCTACTTTCCTTCCATCCTCTACTTCCATCTTCTGAACAATACGGAACGACTCCCTGAGTCCGCCGAACTCCCCACCGGGTGCGGGGGCGGGGAAATTCGGAGAAAGACAGGCTTTTCTAGTCACGACCGCATCTCTACAATCGGACTGATCGCTAATGGTGTCTTTATCGACCCTGATATCTAATTTCATTCATTCGAATTCAATTCATTCAAACTTACATAGTCCACCGAACTCTCGTCTGTCTCCCCGTTCTCCATCACTTCGTCATTGATACAATCATCACTATCGTATCAGACGTCCTACAGGGACACCTGCCGCAGAAAAAAATCGAACTAAAAATATGATTTCAAAGACGATCCTCCGCTCATCCTAAGAGCAGATGAATGGATCTATGACGAAGGAGAAGACGTAGAAGACGTAGAAATTCTGCCACGAAAGTCGAGTTTCCAGCGAGGGACTAACGGTCTCACGAGGGAATCTCATTTCTTTCCTGTCTTCTATCTGTCAGAAGGTCTGGGAATAGACTTCTCCCTTTTTTTTTGTTGCTAAGACTCAAACGTGGCAAGGCGGGGGGCTTCGATCCCAGATACACCAGAGGATAAAAAAAAATCATGAGCCAGAGACATCGAGAGCTTCCATTCTGTCAGACAAAAATATATTCGAGTCTCCTCTGCAATAAAAACAGGATGGGAAGGATGAAAGACTCGAAATTCGAAATACAAAGGAAACAAGCCCATCAATGGCAAGATCACGTCAACCAGCGCCGTCAAGCCTGGGAAACAATCCACAACGGCTGAACGCACGGAGATCACATTCCTTAATCGATTGCACGTGTCCGACCGTAATACACTTTCCCTTGCACAATCATAACCAGGCATGGAAAATGGCATGTTAAAACATAACAAGATGGATATTATTCAGGGCCACGATCGAGGCGAAATCGAACGCAACGGGAAATTGAAACCAGCAACCGATCTCCTGACCCCTCGCAAAAACAAGAACTGAACTTCGACCCGTTTATTTTTAACCGATGGAGAGGAGAAAACCGAAGGAAAAGGGGCTTCCTTTCGTGGTATCATTATTCATCTCCTCCGTCTTCGTACGCACATGCTCACTCATGAATATGCAAGCCGGGTTCTGGATATCACCTGGAAATCCGATTCTCCTTCTGACTTTGAAATTACGTGGGTTTCCTTCCCTCGAGCACCCACGCTGATGCCATATTTGAATTTCCCATTGATAAAGAGCATCCATCGCCTGATGCGGAAAAAGACAGCGGGTGCGAGGCAGTCCCTCGTTACATTGGTTCCGAGAATTCTGGTAAGAAAAACACCAAAATAGGAGCCAATTTTTTTTGGAGTGCAAATCGAGCTCTCACACTTCGACAGAGGAAAAATTGCCAGCAAAGGTAAAAAAAAAAAAAACCAGCAAAAATGAACAGTAGCTCATTATTGAGGAAGCCACAGTTGCTGGATGCATAACCCTTTTCAACAGGCCCAAAACTGAGAGCGATCGTGTCCTGGACTGAAGGTGTAAGAGGTGACACATGGGATACTGAAAAACCACATCCACATCCCTCCTCGGGCTTCAGGGCCTATTTCTATGATTAAGCTCTTAAGCTAAAAATACGATCCTGGGTTCCAAAAAGAATTCAAAGACTATAAATATCACTTGCCATGCGCAAAGGCTGAGAAAAATGTGAGACCCTCACTGTATTGAAATCCTGTTAACGCATAGCATAAGACTGAACTCGATATTTCCATATAACGATATCGTTTCCTCAAAAGTTTGTATTGAGTTATTCAGAAGAGGGATTTATAAAACTCATAACTCTCACGTCACATTTTGAGTTTTGCGACAATGGTACTGGCATGACACCTCCAAATAATTATTTTAATCAAGTATTTGAATATCTGTGACTTCCTACTTAACATCATATCGTTGATTCCATGAAATAGACAATTTGAATGCATCACTATTTTGGAAGATTTATATCCTAAGGGCCGCGACTTTAATTCTGATGTTTTTCCATCTCTTGCTACTCACAGAGGCGCCATACATTTGTTATTTCCTTAAAATCGTCCCACATTTTCTCAAAAAGCGACTTAAGCGTCTGACATGGGAGAAAACTATCAACAAGGCCATTTACAGGCACACAGAAAGAAACCTGATCTCATAGAGTCTCTGCTACGCTGCAGAGAAACCAGGAATAGATTGGTTTGGGATGATCTCGTTACTTGCCAGAAAAGCTCAAAAGGGCGGAAAATTTTCCAAGAGACCGCTTTCCCTCCCACTTTCTCCAGAGGAAACCAGGCGCCGCACAGGCGATACACAGGGTCAAAAATAAATTCCTAACGAGACTTGGCGTTAGAATAAAGAAGCTCTTTCTGGAACGCGAAAAAAGGTACACAGCCATCACCATCGAACTAAGAAGAAGCTCGAGAACCTCATTTTTCCTTCAGAAGCGTCCCGCCAACCGGCGACTGACCTGACCCTCGAACTAAGCAACGTGAGGATGAAACCTAGGTAGGCCTCCCTAACCAAAGGTAGGCTTATCATGTGCATGGAGAATAGATTTCACGCGATCCTCTCTCTCATGCGATTCCAAACCTCAGTTTTCCACGAGTTAATGTAACCTTACCTTCAATGAACGAATACTCAAACCACACCTCACTATCCAATGAATCACAAAACAACATTCACGAATCGCCTCACGAAGTAATAAGCGACGAATGAACATAACGAAAGTAAGACTGCAGGAGAGGAGATGGGGTGCCGGGGGAGGGGGAAGGAGATGAGGACTGCGGCGGATTCGGGAGGGGAGGCGAGATGGCATGAGCACGAAACACATACCATATTTCTCCCTCCCACCAAGAGATGGCAGGAAGGTCGAGATCAATGCCGCCTATACTCTCCATCTCTTCGACTCCGCCGAAATTCAAGGACAAGATTGCATAGGATGAAGAGGTTGGTCTACATCTCAGATATCACAATGACTTCATGCAATGCAACCGCGTGTTTGATTTTGCCATTGGAGTCCTCCGATGCGTTGTCCAGGCTTTGCGAAGTTCACAGTTCCCCCTCAACGCTTTCTCCATCCATTGTCATGCTAAATGTTCTTCCAAAAAGAGGGCTTGGAGTAATAAATGCATGAGAACTATGATTCCGGACACAGCTCTAGCGAATTTTCTTTTTATTTGCCCGTCGTCATGGAAACACTGACGTTGGAATGGTCAGAACCGAAATGGCCCTCAATGGCGTTATTACTCGTTAATACTCTCGTGAATCTGAGTAATGATCATATGAATATGTAGCCCATAAAGAGGTCACCCGGTAGGGTGGATGATCAACTGTAGTTCAACCAAGGAGATTGCTGCAGAGGAACTCCACATAGAATCTACTCCACATAGAAGGGATGGGATGTTTCATATACGGCTTTTCCATCATGGGGGCACTGTATTTGTATTGCCTCCTAATAGAAGAACCGTACGTATTGTACACACTGGCCTTTCTGAGAAATAGCGATTGGGAATGTGCTAGAGTGAGAGAGGACAGGACAGCGGGCTCTGATTAGTTTAGCTTCTGAAGAAAGCACTACCCTCCACAGGAAATGAGAACCTGATGGAAAAGAGATTACGGCCTTCCAGAGTCACTAATTATTACTGACGCCTGAAAAGAACCAACAAGGCTGAATCCCCACGTATTGGGAGATTGGGAATATTCTCATCCGAAATTCGGAGGACAATGTGTATTTCTAGGTTCAAACACATTCCTTATCTCGCCCTATCGATTGAATGGAAGTAGATGCAAGAAGGGGACGTTATCGATCTCCCAAATTTAATTCTTTGGATACTTTGGAAAAAGAGGATGGAAGGAGCATAGCAGGAGGCAAAAGGCTTGCGTGGAATACAATGGAAAGGAAAAAGGAGCAACGCTGTGATGTGCCTGCACCGTTCGATCAAGCTGGCAGGGGTCGCCTCAATATGACAGTATCCCGGTGCTCGCGACGGACGGATTCCTTCTTTTCCTTCTGGTCGTGAAATCTCCCAATCCTCCAGCCATTCACTGAGGTGAGCACAGCCGACGGATCGATCTCGTTTTCCTCGCTCGCTCGGGAGCACCGCGGTCCAAGGCATGCTAATAGACTTTTTTTTATTTATAATAATGGTTGCTCCCTGACGAAGTCTCCGAGAAACGGAGGCTCTGCCTTACCATTCCTCGTATCTGGGATACACCATGCAATCTACTTTTAGAAAGGTAATCTCTTTAGTTGTTTGCCAGACTCGTCAGGGGCGCTTGCAGTTCCTAACAGATTGATACAGCGCACAATGAAGGGAGTGACAGATCGATGGGACAGAAGGACGAACCTGAATGTCTAGTGCCTGGCACGCTACCAGATACTAAGAAAAAAAAAAGAATATCTAGTTTATGGTATACATTCAATTTCCTTTCGGGCGATCGACTGCACTCAGAGATTTTCGTGATCGACCTCGCTTCGTTCCTCAGAACAAGGTCAGTAATGGAAGAAGGGGAACTAGAGGGTGGATCGACAATTGGCTCTCTTCCAATATCAGATCCCTCCCCTTTCCTTTCTATAGCCCAGTGAAGACAGATTACAGAATCGTGGACGAGGTGGAGAGGCGCAGCTGACAAAGAGCACTTTCCAGGTGCCAAAGAGAGAGATGAGATCTCATTCACATCTAATCGGAACAAAGCCTTGCAAGGGATGGGAGAATATCCAGATAATGGCAAAGGGGACTCGTGTTAAGCAGCTGATCTATGAATGATGACGTCAATCTTCACTCTAGATGGAGGACATCTCACGCTGAAGACATTACTGTAAAAAGCAAGGAAGGCTTAATTTCTATCGCTATTCAAAAATGGCGATCGCATCAACCACAGCCCGCAAGGAACACATCGATGGACAGCGCAGCGCATTCTACATCCCGACACCTGCAGTTACAAAAATGAACTAAGGGCACAGCGGGGAGTCGTTAGAGTACGCGATAGAACGAGAGAGAAGGTTGGCATTCGTAAGGACGAGTGGCTCCTAGCCGCTTCGGAGATATAGGCTAAGCTAGGCTTTTCCGTTCATTCTACCAGCCGCATTCTTCCCATCCTTTCATGATAT